GCGTGGTGCTGAGCTGCTGCCTGGGGCTAAACCATGACAATTATCCAAGTCAGAAACAAATAAAAGAAACAACTAAATGTCTTTGCACTCTGCCAGACTTCATTCTTCAAAGATATGACGCAATTTTAAGAATGTGCATGTATAACCTGATCCTATCAATATTAACTGGCTTTATGAGCAGACTCAGAGTCTCCCAAGAGACAGAAAACTCTTGCAGCACTCCAGATTTAAGACAGGCTATCAAAACCAAATTATCTTCTCTGTGCCATGGTTTAAGACATGAATAGTAACCACCCTTTCCTGTCACTGAAGAAAAAACTACCAAGTTTGCGTGCAAAGCATTTAATCTTAAGCTTTGAAAACACAAAAAACTCTGCTTAATAAGGCATATATGTTAATGTTTCCCTAAAAAGCGGACAAACACTACACAGCTTGTAAAATCAGTTAAATGTTTAGATTCTCCCAAAGCTGCGGCGTATGATTTCATTCTTTAATTTCATACTGATGCACTCCATTTCCCAGCTTTAAGGCACAATGGGTCATTAATTAGCCTGACCTTCAGCATAACACAGGTCACTAATCCAATTATGTCTTTTAAACGTGAAAGAAGAACATTTTAAGAAGTTCCAGAGAATTATCATATGCAACTGACCCTAAAGAAAAGGGAAGTTACCCTATTTTGGAAGAGACGTATTTCCAAAGCTATCAGTGCTCACTTCACAGCAAGGCTGGGGTTTGTTAAGCTTTGTTAACTTATTTCTAAACTATCAACAGAAATGCTTAGACACTTAAAATTTACTGAGACCACTGGGATTTAAACTTTTCTACAAAATATTGGTAATCCATATATTGGAGATGTGTGGTTCATGGGATAAGATAAATCATCCTTATTTTTACTTCTCTAAATCAGGATATGCGAAAAATCACAGCAGATGTAATGAAAAGACGACTGAACTTAAAAAGAAAGAAAGAAAGAAAGAAAGAAAAGGGAATACATGCCAGATACTAACTACAGACGTGGTCCTCAAACAACTGCTATTTTTTGGCTTAGCTTCTGTTGAGACAACTTTATATTGTATCATATGTAAGTTCTATGTTGCAAAGTTTTTTCTTCCTTCAGAGAAGTAAATCCTTTGAAATACAAAGGAAGACCATATAACACGTCTGTACGACACTGCTAGTACCACTTTTTACACTGAGAAGTTAAAAGTGTCATTTCTGTTGCTATTAATGAAATGTCAGCTGTAGCCACAGGATATTTTACCTGTTTAATTTAAGTATATCCCAGTTAGTTAATAATTCACTTACCCTTATAAGCATTACAAACTTTCCCAACACAATGGGGCAAATAGAAACTTTTTTCACATTCACATCCTCAGCTACTTAAAAAAAAAAGCTCCGATCTAAGTATTTTTCAAGTTACTGCATTTTCTACAGCAACACTATTTTTTCTTATTCAAGAATTATTATTGTAAATCTCAGATGTTAAATTTCTGCTGACTGCTGGCCTCTCTTCTCATAACTCACAGCAAAAACATTTGCTTGTAAGCAAAAAGATACGTGCTTAGTTACTTTTTGGCTTTTAGCTGTTATACCCAAGGGAAATATCTACTGATGTGAACCACCTTGCTAGTGCACATCAGAATAAAATATGTGCAAGTGATCCGTGGTCAAACCAATAGAGGCTGTTCTAAAAGCAGTAATGCCTCAACAGGCAGAATTGCTCATAAATACGGACTCGATGCCAACCTAAACAACTTGTATGGTAAGACCCCTGAAATACCTCTTACAGGAATAACTTTTTATCATCTGAATCAGAATTCCATAAAGCCTGACATTTCATCAATGTCATTTCTTCAAAGACAGAAAATAAGAAAATAGTAGTGCTTATTTTCATTCTTTCTCAATATGGAGAAAGTGTGGTATGCTAGGAAAAAAAAAAGTGGGTTTTTTTTGCTCTATCTCTTCCATTTAGGACTCAAGACAAATGGTTGAACATTAAGAATGGATTATTCTGACTCTGATGAAAGGAAGTGCCTCCCCAACCCCCAAAATAAGATCAGCTGAGCTGCCACTGGAGTGTGACCTGAAACTGAGAATACTGATCTGAATTATGCTTAGCTTTTTCTGCATGGACAAAAAATTCAGAACTCAAGGAAAGAAGAAATGAGATTTCCAGATTACATTTTTAACTACATTAGATCTCAAGTTCAAAAAAAGTTTGTTTAATAAAATGTTTGTTTATATATATTAATATGTATTTGTTTAATAAAATGTTCATATCAGAGCAACAGATGCTTTGAAGCCTTTTTTTTACATGATTTTACTTTTCAGACATATACTAACTGGTGCCAAATCAACGTTTTTGTATCTTTCAATTTTCAGAAGCAGGAAATGAAATCTAATCACGTATTTAAAAGCTCAGATTCTCCACATTAAGAAATGTTTTTAGCAGGAAACAAGAGTGTGGCTTCATTTACCTGCAGTAACTCAAAGTAGTGCAAACAATGATAGACTGGGATAAGCATGAGTCGTGGGAGAACGTATCGTACAGCTTCTTTAAACCCTTCAGCAGTAGACTGAAAAGGAAAAATAAACAGCATTACTTGCACTGAAATACTCAAAACAGGACTGGACAAGTCCCTGAAGTTAGCACTGCTTTGAACAAGATGGTTGTGCTAGACACGTCCAGGGGTGTCCCTTCCGATCTACATTACTCTATGCTTACATCTAGTAGTAAGGAAGACAATAAAGTATGCAAAAATATTTTTGTCTAATAAGACTCTTTATAAGATTCAGAGACGACACATAAATGCTCTGACATCAAGCAAACAGAACGTGTAAACACCCTCTTCCAGGCACTGCAAGCACCCATTTCCATCAACAGCTGCGGGTGGATTTTGATGCATACTCACTAGCGAACCCATAGCTCTGAAAACACCCCTAACCCGCACAACAAATGCTGGCACAATCTGCCTCCTTAAAAGGGTAACCCGTCAGATGGTCCATATTTTTGTCAGAAGTAGCAAATCAAACATAAGAAGTCAGGATCAGGTTACCCACAAGTCATTTTGTAAGCATCCTTTAATTCACGTAGAGGTGCTCATATCGCAATCCCTAGCGCCTTTGTATTTCAGCCCTGTCTGCAGAACTCAATTAATAGTGTTAGTTCAAGGTGACAACACCTAAAAATAATGCACTGTCTATGGCTAAGCTGCATGCCTTACTCCCAGTCAACAGCCACCTCCCAGAATGCAGAAGGTGCTTGAACATATTTTCAAAAAAGCTCATACCCATTTCCAAAATAACATGTTTTACCCTGGCCCATAGTTTGCTGCAGAATTTAAAGAAAACACTGGAATGTTAAAGACCAGCCAGGACTCCCATACAATCTAATAAACTTGTCACCAACTTCCCTCTAATGTCCTCTCCTCCCAAATACGCACATCCAATGTACCACAGAAATATGGAAGTCTCATCAAGTACTGAAGAAATTAATATTAGTATCTCCCCTCCCTCAAACTGAGAATCACAATTCATGACTTGAAAAATGGAGTTAGAAATTCCCATGCCCAGCAGTTAACTAACACAATGATTTGGGCTGTAAAATGGAGAGAGGTTTTCCAAAGGACAGTGAAATCCCTGCCAACTTCCTTATCAGGATAACTATTGAACAGAAACTCAATTACCTGATCTCATTTTTGGAAATTACCTCTCCCCCCATGTAAGACTTCTGGCTGCATCCCTCTGCAGCTGTCAGAAACAGCTCATATATGTCCATGGCCCAGAGCGTGGACCTCCGCCTTCACTCCACAGCTTGGAGAAGTGCGAAGGAACATCCCTAGGAAAGCCCAAACCTTTCTACGGGGATGAGAGTCAGAAAGGAGGCCAGATTCACTGCCAAATTACTCAATTACCAATTTAATCTCAAATACGGTTTGGGGCTTTAAATTTGCTAGGGGGGTAAAGGGCCTTATAGAATCATAGAATGGTTTAGGTTGGAAAAGACCTTTAAGATCATCCAGTCCAACCAGTAACCTACACTACCAAGTCCATACTAAACCAATCAAGGGTAGAGTAGACTAAACCAAGTCCCAGAGGTCATTCACCAAGCAGTATTTAAGAGTGAGATGATCCAGCTTACCAAGCGCTCAGAGCTGAAGAGGAAACGCTCACCCTGAAGGAGTGTCTTAGAGGAATCTCAGCTTGCAGAGACCCGGGCCCCAGTAAAACGTACAAACTAAACTCTGCTATAATGGGTTTAGCTGGGAGCACCACTGATCGAACACTTGCTCAGCAGCTTCTCTAAGTGCATTTCTGAACACAAGCTCAGTCTTCTGAACAGTAGTCTTTAATAAATCCTGCCACATTGGTGGAAGGAAGGGGGAAAAAAAACCCCAACCAACCAAATAGACAAAAAAAGCCCCCCACAGATAATCTTGCTGGATAGTCCTACTGAAGAAATAATTCAAGAAAAAATGCCAGTCTCAGCCTTAATGCCGAACAAGGGGGCCTGCGATATGTAAGGAAGAAAATGTAAATATTGTGCCTGGGGGCCTGTGTTTGGCATTAAAAGGCAAAACAGCAACAGAAGTGGCAGGCATGAGAAGTCACTCTCTGTTCTCAAGGAAGAGAGTCTGATGTGAGGACAAAAAAAAGGGCAAAAGACTCATGGATGGGTCAGAGCTATGTCCAGTTTTTACAGGAAGAGGCAGAGTCCAACTATCTTACACTGAAGAAAGGTCAGAATCTAGAGGATTTCTTCCTCAGTAGGAAGTAAAGAATTACTGACAAAATTCAAACCTTTGAAATATGAGAACTAAAGCAATTCAGTATTTCTCATTTGCACTCACCTGAAAGTGGAGAGCAACAGCAGGTTTTGCCATTAAGTTATTAAAATGCTCATGAAATTGTGGAGAGAGAATATCCTGGGACAAGGTTTCATATGGATCAAAGGCCTGCTCCTAAATAAAACCAGAGAATTATATACATACATGAAGGATGCAAGATATTTCTGTCCCAGGTGGTAGAATTAATTCCTTTAATAAGCTGATACACAACTTGAACTTTTCAAGAAAAGATCAATTTTGCAAAACAAATATTCAGTAAACCACAACCCTTTTTCACTTCCAAATTTTAAATGCACACAACATTTTCTCAGCATTCCTCAATCTCACCATACTTATCACTAACACCAACTTTGTTTTACTGAAGCAGTGGGAACCAAGAGAAGTTCTTGCTTTCAGTCCACCCACATTTCACATAGAAAGGCAATTTCCCTCCTCTCCGTCAATGAAGAATGACACTTTGGAAAGAAGTGCAGGTAAAGATGAACTTTGGAGACTGTCACAAGGAGGCATTGTTGTACCACCACCATTTCAGGGTACATCACAGAAGAATGGTCAGTCATAAGCACTGGACTTCTGAGCGCTTTTCTGGCCATGTCAGTGGGAAAATAGCTCGCTCTGGGACAAAGCAGCTAGTCTGAAAGAGCCTCAGAGGAAAGTCCTCTGATGACACCAAGGGTTTCAGGTGCAAAAATTATGCACCTGGATGGAGTATCTGGCTGCGATTCTGTAATATCAAGTACAGCAGGATGGGAGGAAAACCTGACTGTACATGAATCTCTGCAGGAATAATTTATCACCTGCTCCAAAGCCTGTCAGGCTGTTCCCGAGTCTCTGCAGATTCACTGGGCTGAATCACTCATGAATCACCGGGTTATCCGGTGCTGATGGCACGATGCCCCAGAATAAGCACATACCTCTTTCCACCTTAATGCAGAAGTGCTTGTCGGAATACAGGCTGCGGAGTTTGGGAGTACCAAACACCGCAAAGGCTCATTTGGACATTCAGGTAAAGTCTCAAGTCTTCCATTTGCAGAGGGTCCAGGGGATTTCCTACCTTACTCATGGGGCAGCTGCAATTAAACTCTTTGTGGGGAGGAGAGGCACAGAATGCACTCTCTTTTCACATGCGAACTGTAATCATCACTCTCAACTCTCCTCATCAAGTTCTAATCATCGCTGTCCATTCGCATTAGATTGTATCTGGGAGGGGGGATGGAAGGGGGGGAAGGTTTGGCACTTCAGCAGCAGCAGCTGAAGAGAAAATGGTTAGACACTCTCTAAGTGAGCAGGCTGGTTTTCTTCAGCAGAATCTGAATCCGACTTCCAGCCTGGTGGATTTTTTTTTTTGTTGTTTACTCCACGCCTGCCCACTACCTGCAAACATACAACACGGGGGTCTTATTTTACACCATCCAAATTAAAGGCAGGGGACAAGAACACTGCATATACAGTTTCTCTTTGCCATGCTAGCCAAGAAAAAAAAAATGAACATAAACCTCTGCAGAAGCAGTAACTCAGCCATGGTGTGTGGGTTCAGCTGCATTCAGAGGTGCTGTCTTTTTAAACTTTTTACTGCACTTTACAAGTGTTTTCCGTTTCTTTCACTCAGACTTTAATCAGTGTTTCGAGTTTTTGGTTTTGTTTTTTTGAACACAAGACTGAAACAAACTGCATTAGCTTTCTTCCCCAAGAGACTAATTTTTTTTTTTTTAAAAGGGGGCGGGGGTTACACTTGCAATGTTGGAAAAGTTACTGAAATATTGAGGCATTAACTCGATGCCCGTGTAAGTTATCTTAATGCAGCATCCAGTTCTGGACTGGTGGTTGTACATTTCAGCCCCTTTTGCTGTAGTGCACTGGTTTCCACCTTTTTTTGCTTTGTGGATACCTAAAACTTCTCCTACGGAAATGCAAATACCAGCATAACAAATTTACAGTCTACTGATAATAACCTCATTTTACTAGCTGCCTTCCGAAGACCACTTCAAACCAGGCACAAAGACACCCTGCCCTCCGTTCTGAGGTTCTCCTCCCACTAGCTGAACATTACTGAAGAGATTATCTAAGGCAATCATTAAAATGCACTGTAGTAGTTAGGCTTGTAAAAATTACCACCAAGCAAAATTTTTTTACCAGCATATTAACAAATATCCATCTCCCACTCGTATGTGTCAGGCGTCAAGTTTTTGCATTTCCTTGACGCCAGGAAAAACTGTTTTATTTTCCCCACACTTCCTTATCTCAAAAATACTACAGTATTTATGTTTAAACCTTCCAGAGAACTGATGCAGAAAAACAAAGCAGGAAGATTCCACCTTGGAAGGGTTTTTTGTTTTTAATTATCCTTCCAAATAATTTGAAGGACCTTTATAATGGAAACACTAAGTGAACAAGCCTGGCAGTAAGACAGGCAAAGCAAATAAACACTTCTCTTTCATATCTCTCTTCAATGATCCTTTTTGCAAATACTCACAGAAAGATGATCTCAGCATGCAAGATGATCAAATGAACAGCCTAGTTATTAAGTAGGTCTTGCTCCTACTGCATTATTAAATTCAAACTTACTACCTGCATAAGAAGAAGGTTTGAAGAATAATCTTTTCATCACCAATTTAAGTTTTCCAGTTAATGAAAATCAAGTGATATTTGTACTCATTGAAAAGGATTTGTTTCCCTTAAAGCACAGGATGCCTAAAAGTAGCTTTTGCAATAAACTGAGATATGTATGTTTTCCAGGATAGTGCTGTCCTATTTCAAATTGTAAGTCTTTTTTTCAATTTTAATATAATAGGCACTTACTTGAATTCATTGCTCAAATGCTTCTCCTTATCATTATATAAGCAATTATGCTTTACCATCTTAAGAGCTAAGACCTAGTCAACTGGACTTTCCTACTGATGTGTCACATGAGTGGCTTATTGAACTAGCCAGCAAAACTTTATCTTTATGGTGTATTCATAAGTGGCACAGGCGCTGAAGGACCTGTATTCTTCATGCCCACAAAAACTAACTGTTTCCCTAACGGTACTGGTGTGTCCATGCAGTCCTCAGATTTTAAAAACTGAACATACATAAAAGTGAAATGGAAGTGTTATCAGTTGTCATTTTCTTTATAAACATCATAATTTTAAGATAAAAAGCATAAACTGCACATTCACCACGTGGTTCACCCGAGATATTCTCTCTCCCCCTCGGGCCAGAACATCTCATTTGACTTCCTCTGTGATACAGTCCACATGGTTTATGGGATTAGCCTTATGTTTTGGTTCAGGAAACTGGGCTCGATACACCTCTCAGGAAAAAGTAGACTCAATTTAAACATTTCCAAAGACAGCAAAAACTCTACACCTACCTTGGTAATTTGTTCCAAGAATTAGCTCCCCGACAGTTAAGAAGTTGTGGTGTGTTTCTAAGCCGAACTGTCCTCTTGCCTTTCAGAACCTGCTTTTTTGCTGTGCACCTCTGCTGAATTCCAGAGTCATTTTGTACTCTATTTTCAGGTCATGAAGGTACCTATATACCTGTCCTATTTTGACTAAACTGAGCTCTATCTCACTGTAAAGCACTTTCTCAAAAACTTTACTTTTGTGACTCTCCTCTGCAGTCCTTCCAGTATTTCAATGCCCATTAAAAAAAACCACCAAACTGACAAAATAGCTTAATAATCTTTTAGTATGAGCCACACCAAATCCATGTGCAGCATCTTCCCGTACTCCTACTCTTTAATATCTATTTTATAGGTCAATGGATATCAGTAGCACTTTTGCTACAATACTGAACAGAGTTCAGTTGCACACCTGTTTTGATACTTTGCTCCTTCCCAGAGTTACTGCTTTGCAGAGACATTTCCCATTCCAGACATATACAATACATTTGCCTGAATTAAGAACACATTCTGTTTGAGTCAGCTCACTGTCCAAAGTAATGCAAGTCACTCATCTTGCAGATCTACGTCCAACGGCTATGATTTTTGGGTAGCCCTGGGCTTGACACCAATGCCTACAAAGATCAAAGCACCACCTTCTTTCAGTAAGCAGTCCCAGGTAATTACTTTTCAAATCCACATCCCTACATGATCGTAGCAATTAATTTCCACTCTGAAATAAGATCTTAGTTTTGTGCTCACCTGCTTGATATTGTTTCTGTGACAGTTAGAAAACACACTTCAGCTTACCTACTAAAGAACAGGTAGGGATGGTCTCTGTTCAGAGCTTATTAAAAGGACTTTTTACAGCTGCAAATTTGTCGGAGATACCACAGTCATGACCAAAAATTTACTAAGGAAAATAAAACAATCAGTGACTAAAAAAAAAAAGAACAAAAAACCCAACAAAACACTGTACCTCTGCAAGATCCTCAAAGCAGCTGCCAGCCAGCGGATGAGGACTACTTTCGTCTGTCATTTCAACGGTATCCTCAATCAATCCCAAAAGCTTCACTGTCAACTCGTGAATATCTGAAATGTTGCTAAATATCACATCGATATCCTGCAAACATAAAATGTATCTTAGTCGTGTTCAGAATAATTTATTCTGCTTATGGAAATATTGGAGCGGTTTTCATGAAATCTGAACCAAGAGGTAAATGGAGAGGAGCCAACAAAAAGCAAGGAAGAAAGTTAAATTACGTGGTCGTCCCAGCCCTGTGGACTTGTCTGGGCACATCCAGCCTTGCACAATTCTCAGCCCAGAGAAAGCAAGCACACCATCCTTCCGGGCCGGAGCAGCAGCAGGCCCAGTACAGGCTGTTCAGTGCTTTGGACAGAAACGCCTGGCCTTTTCGGCCACAATTCACAGCTGTTATTTTTCCCCTCTGCTGATTCTTGTCTCTCAGAACACAACAGGAAGGAGGCAATTTAAAGCAGCTCCAAGGTCAGATCCTCTAAACCACAGGTAAAACTAAAGCAGCTACTTGGCTACTTCAGCAGAATACTACCTGGGTACAGAGGAAGAATCGGCAGCTTCCTTTTCCAAAGTCTACTTTTAGATTTTTTTAAATCCACACACCGCAAACACACCCAACTAGGCAGCCCCTTCCAATGACCTGCATTCTTCTTCTGACCCCTCTGACACACACTTCTTGGAAGCCTCCTCTGCCCCAACCTAACACTGCAGAGCTTGCTTGACCTCCTGCCAGCGCCAAGACCACGGCAATCTCTTCGTGGGAATGAGCAATCTTGAAACTTCTCATACCCGTTCCCATATAACAAAAGAATATTCCTCAGCTACAAAATATTGCTCCCTTCTCCTCCCATCATCTTCGTTTGAATCCTGTCCCTACATTTGCACAATTCTCCAATATCCTATCAGCTACTGAGGAACCTCCACACCCAGCTGTAATGGGAATGTCTCCTGCTGCCTCTCTTTTTAACCCGCTGGTATCACCTATGAATTCCTGGTTCACCTATGAACAACCTGGTATCACCTACGAACAACCTGGTTCAGGTTCTGCTGGCCTGTTTCCTTCCCACAGGAAGGATTCACTCATCTCTCATTATTCCTCTTCTCTTACAAGAGCTGTGCTTCCTTTTTAGACTCCAGCATCCTGAAAACCGAATTTGCCACACATACAATTTCAACCAAATATTTCAATCATTTATCAAATAGAAATTCCCTTCACAGTCGGTCACATGCTAGAGAATCCAGAGCCAAGGGCCATTTCACTTGTAGGTTCTGCAGATAGGGGTGCCCTGGGGTAGACTTCAAAATGTGAATTCAAGCATTCATCTGCATTTGCTGTACATGCAGGTAGGTTACTGTTAATTTTTGCGTTAATCAAAAGTGTAACTATTACCTACATGACCAAAGGACTCCAGCTATTGCCGGCATCTGACAGGGAATCGTGCCCATTAAGCTTCATGCTGAGAGCAGCACTCTTCATACTATTAATGGCAATTCCTCCATTTCATTTCATATACAGTCAACACTCATTATGCACTGACATACGATAAATCAAATTTAATTTTACCTCCAACTCAGTGAATGTAATATTGATATGTTATGGCTGCTAATGGAGCAACTAGCATTACACATCAATAACCTATTAAAGGACTTACATTAGGTGTGAACAATTTTCTGTTTGATAGGAAAGCTTCCCGAAATACTTTTATTATCAGATTCAGCTCCCGCAGATATTGCCTTTCTTCTGCAATTTCGTTTCTCACTAGGTCATAGTAGTTGAGTTCCCCAGAAGAGGAGGGCTCATCTTCACAGAGAGAAACCAAACCAATGTCATCCTGATCAAACATATCCATCAAAACCTAGCAAAGAAACGTAAAAAAAATTACATGCAAGCCCGATTTTTACACTTGGCTCAAGCTCAGCTATTTCAATGTGTTCAGAGAAATCCTTTGAGTTTTTAATACAATACTTTCTGTGATCACTTTCACAAGGGAGTAATATTTAAACTTTGGCAGCAGAAAGCTGGTTCAGTTGCCAAAGCCATTTTCCCCTTTATAAGTTAGTACGACCTAGAAAACAAGTTACAATTCATGCAGAACCAACTCCGAAAACAAGGCATCTTGCACAAGCCTTCGACAAAACCCTCCTGATAAAGATAAAATTAAACAAAAATGTTTCTCATTTTTATGAGGATGAAAACTAAATGTCTTTTCTGTATTATAAAGAAGGAAAGAGCTGTCGTAACAAAGCAACATCAGGAGGAGAGTAACACAGCTGAGAAATAAAGGACAACATCATTTTCTGTCCTTACATTGTTTTGTAAGTACTACTACTGTTCCAAAGTTAACAGGCTTAACTTAAGCCGTTACTGTGACAGGTCTGGCACGAATAAGGAGAGAAGCTTCTGCATTTGAGTAAGACCAGTCTCTCCCTCCTATCCTACTTTGGATACATCTTCTTAAAAAAAAAAAAAAACCAACCAAAACCAATGTCTCCAGTATCTACCTTTGTATCTGTCCAAAAGACTATTTTAATCCCAACTCCTTACCTTGTCAGCACACATTGATACTTTAATGTCCTGCTGGGAGATCTCAAAGTGTCGTATATTGAAAACATAGTTTCCAGCCAGCTTTAAAATATCAGCTGAGATGTATTCCAAGACAGCCACAATATACAGAGACACATGGTAATCTACCTTATAACCTAGGACCTCCTGCAAATTGAAAACAAGAGGGAAAAAAAAAAGCTATTTATTCCAGAAGTTCATTTGGAATGACAACTAACACATTGAGTTTTCTACTGAAATTGATCTTGCCTGTGTTGATAATTGACAGCAATGTAACAGGCAGGACAAAGGACATCAAATGGAAATTTGATCAGCCGCCTCAAAGGAAATGCTTGCAAATACTTCTTTGTGCTATTTTGCCATATACTGACAGATGAAAAGCTACAGAACTTTCCATAATCCTTCCTCTAAAAACGACAGTCCTAAAAATAGGGTTCCTTCAAGGAAGGGACTTCACTGGAATCACTTTTGTACTTAAATTTTAGTCTATATCTATGCTTATTGAAGGACTCTAGCCCTAATCTGGACTCTTCAGAAAAGAACGTGCTTCATTTTTAATTGTTCTTGATGTTCTTGATTTCTTTCAGGAAATTACAGACTGTGTGTTCAACCTGTTATGTACTGCGATCCATTTTAGTCCATCCTTTACATTTGGCTGAACAACTAAGCTATCTGCACCCTTGCATTGCATAAAGTAATTAAACTTTAATAATTAAAGTCTGAACAGAAAAAAACAGGATGAATGTTGCCTGTTCTTCTTGCGATACGTGCTCCATGTTCTGCAGAGCATGCACCACATGGCCTCTTATTTGTGACAGGACTGTCAAGAATAAATACAGGTAGGTTCACGAATTTGAATAAGGTAGTCTTGTTCTTCATCATATTTTGAAGCATCTTCTAAAAATCAGATTGTGTGCCTATGTTCACATGCTTCTAAACCAGACTTCATGAAAGAAAGCCAGTGTTTCCTAGGAAGGTCTTATTTAATGCTGTTTTCTTTCCTAACATCTCTTACCCTCTCATTAATCATCACAAACTGAGACACTGTATATAAGAACACAGTGACTACACCTGAAAAAGTGCTTTAATTTCTGCTTATGCTTGAATAATGTTTTCTCGGTGCAGCTGGGAACTCTGGCACAACAATGCCACCACTGGAGAAAAGCATTTTTTAAAGCTATGAACAGAAAGCAAAATCAATAGAAAAAAGAAATACCAAAAAAGAGCAGTGTTTAGTTTAATCTAAAAAGTGATTAAACACCAATCTAAAAATCAGAGTACTGTTTTATCATTTAAAAAAAAAAACCCTCTCTACAGGGCACGATATGAATGCATGCTTACTGTGTGACACTAAAACCTGACTGTAAGCAAGGAGCTCTATACCTGTTATAAGTAACATGACATCTAAGAACTGAGATGGCCACTATCCTCAACACCCACCAACAATAAAGTCTGTATTTGGTCTTTTGTTACACCTCTGCAGATCTATCGATTAATTTTAAAACCAAGGCATCAGTGACATTCAACAGTAACCGAAAGGACGCTGATATGCATCTTAGTTGACAGTATACAAGGAACAGGATCTACTTGTTCTCTCTTCTTCTATTTTGGCTTCTGCAGCATTTTGAAACAAATAAAGGCATCAAAACAGTGCTACTGAAGTAGGCAAGGTATTTGAGTTTGGGTTTTATTTACGTTAAAAACTAACTAGTCATATTTCAAAGTAGAGTAATACATGAACACAATGATGTCTAGAACATGACGAATTTAGGTATCTACATTTATCACATACTACAATATATTCATCCTGTTCTATGGTGACTTCACGCTTTCAGCCAATATGAGAGACTTACCTAATTTGACACAAATTACAGAAATACTTTAAAGGTTATGCTATGCTGGAGGGCAATAATACAGCTGGGGGTGTGCGGTGGGCAGAAGCGGCAGTCAGCAGGTTGTTGGTTTAAGTACCTTTAATAAAGGATGTATTTTGTCCACAGGTAGCAGGAGAGGGCTTCTTCTTTTTCGTTTCTCTATAGCAGACTGCGCATCAGCAATCGCCCACTTGTCTATTGGATGAGGAAATGTCTTTTGAACACGCTCCTGTCCAAACATAAAGAGTACGCTCAGATTAACCGCAGTAATCAGAGAGAAATTTAAAAAAAAACACAACGGCAAATTACTTCCCCTGCAGTATAGACAATTATCCTCCTCCTCGCTGTTTGCAACACATTTTCCTAACTGTTCTCTCCTTTCAACAGCTCAGCTTCACTCTCTTCGATAACCCCAAACAACCTCCCTTCCCTAAGCACGAAGAACTCCTTCAAACCTCCTAAAACAACTCCTGCTCTATGATCTTTTCATCACAAGAGCAGCAAGAAAGCTCAGCTGAGACCAGGAGCCCAAAATATAAACATCATCAGGAAGTACTACACAGTTTACAGTCTAAATGAAAAAAAAAAAAAAGGTATTGTTCCCATTTCATTAAAGTTCAGGGTGTGACTTGTCCTATATCAGATCAAGTTTATGGCAGAAATGAAAAAAACAAGTGCAGGATCTTCTAACTAGGAGGGCTGCGATTCCTGAAGAAGGCAGGCTGTAACGCTTTGGACTCCACAAGCCCACAGAGGAGCATCTTCCCCGCTGCGCCGTCAGTCACAGTGGCTGCAGTTTACAGCCCCCACTACCACAGTAAACTGCATGCAATTTCAGGTCACTTTTACACAGATTCACATTTCAACAGCTGCTATAGGAAGAGGCGAGATGATCCCCACCACAGAACAAGCTGCTTTGGGGCAGCAGTCCCACACTTGAGCAGCCCCCAGCTATACAGGTGCAAGAGCCCAGTGCTGCTTTCCATCAGGTTCTCCAGGCTTCCCGCTGCAGCCCCTGCGAGCTGGGCAATTCGACGCCGAAAGAACGAGTCTAAACCGAACTCTAATGACTGCTTCTTAAGCGACTTTGGAAAACACGGATTTTTTTTAAGTTAGATACCTATGCCATAATGAACAGAAAAGGCGAGTAAACAGTCTTCCAGGACACTTGTGACTGCCACAGCTCTGTTCGGTTCTCGTGGGGAGCAGCAATCGCCTCCTGCCCACTACCGTGCCCTTACTGCAGGTGGCATGGCCAGGCAGGCGCAGTACGCGGTGCGGTGCCACACCCCACCTCGGCTCGGGACCTGTAACCTGGGCCACAGCGAGGTGATAACCCTTAAAGGACAGCTTTTATAGTTGAGCTGAAGAATGATCCAAGAAAAATGGTGAAATCTATGCATCCCTTTGGTAAAAAGATTTTTGCGCATATTCTGAAATTCAACAGGAGGCCCGAGATCTTCTCAGAGGCAGCTTTTAAATATTTGCATGTGGCCATTTAACACTCAACTTTCTGCGTCAGCTGTCTGTGCCAGGTAAACACATGGTGACCTTTCCTCTTGGACAGCAGCCTAAAGCTCTGGGCTAGTTCACCGAAATGAACTCTCCTTGAGATTCTACCAGATCGCCTGCAAAATGGACGTAATGTGGCATTCAGCTGTCCTTCAACTTAACAGCGCGCTTCACGAGTGACACATGCCTTTCGCACTCAGACTTTGCCGGTTCCCAGTTGTTTTGTTGGGAACAATTTGAAGGGCCCGTTCTATTTATAAAACCTTTATAATTTGAGATTTGAGACCTTGATCTTGCAAATACTTCAGTATATTATTACGCGCAAGTAGCTCCATTAACTCCAGGCTGTTATGTAAATATCTGCATGATAAACTTTTGGAGATCACAGCTCTCATGTTTTCTCTTAACAGCGAAAAACAGCTGAGGAGCAGAGCCAAAAACCTTCATTCGTGGCTCTCAGATGCCTGCTGGCAGCACAATCTCACCAACAACCCATAACACAAAACTTAATTCTACTTTCCCTGCTCTGGAAGAGTCTGAATTTACTGACCTACAGAATGATACCACTATTTAGACCTAGCTCTGTGTTTTTAAATTAAATAGTTGTTACATTGCCGAGCGCAACGTTTTATTACTCACAGCTTTAAAATGCCAGGTGTATTTAAAATACGATACATGGGATTTAGTGTCTGCTGTGATATCCGTAACCACAATTCAGCGAGTTGTCAGTTATCTCAGAAGGCTGGCTGTATTGCGTGCAGTTCTGCACACAGTAATTTGTGGAGCAAACACATACGCAATGAAAATTATTAATTCATATGTACACAGGGTAATTTTATCATCTCATGACTCAGACGCAGAAAACTATGGAGGTGGCGTGTAGAATAATCAGTGCTATCTCAAACTGTCCTGTGTGCTGGAGGGTTTGGTCAGCTGGGGACTGGAGAAAGAACATGGTATTTCTCAGCTCCACATCTAAAGTTCAAATGCAGACTCAAGGTAGTAACAATTCTGAGAGCTATTAAGGGACTATTAAGTTTTGCTTTTATTTAGTCATACTATAATCTTCGTGCATCAGTATTACAAAATACATTAATCATAAACCAAAATTAATAACTAATGAATTAACTCAATGTTGAATAAGGGGCAATTGCTGCTTCTAATAAGAATCTAAAACCCCTCAGGCAATTCTTTTGTAAATATATATATTCTTTATTTCCATGACACATATAGAATATTAGACTAGGACTTCATTATGTTTTAGGCTGAAAATCCTAGACATATAGATTGACGTAAAATTAATACTCTGCAAAGCTATAATGGGCCACAGCTACATGAAAGCACTTTCTCCCTCTAGACTGTATACTGAAGCGCACTCCATTAAAGCCCTCATTTTGTAACTGATGACACAAAAGCAGACAGCTGCAATAATACAAGAGCCTCAGTGAGTTCAATAAAGTTCCAGGAACATACAACTCTGTTCCCTCAGCTGCACAATCCAGGCCTCACAACAGTAACCTTTCATTCCAATATTTACTTTTCTTCTGTATATTTATGTCGAAGAGCAGGAAAACTTGCAATATCCTTACATTCTTAAGCCCAAGGTGCATTTGAGCAGCAGAAAATCCTTCAAAGTATTCTGCATTTATAAAAATAATGCTGTAAGAAAAAATTCCTACCATTTTTATTCTGAAGCCCTGTACAGGAAAATGAATTTCCAATTACGCGTGCTTTGTGAAATCTGAATGCTATGTAATATTTTAGAAGGGCAATATTAACGAGCTCTGCTCTTTGGATTCACCTTGCTTTAACTTCAACCTGCACTGCTCAAAATAGCTTCATTCTTCTTAGTGATTCTGCAAGAAAGCACTTGGTTTTCCAGTATCTGGTCTTACCTCTACGTCTTGGACAGTCCGTGGCTGAGCAATGCATAGTTTGTTTAGCAGCTGAAGTATCAACTCTTCAATGTAATAGAGGGAATCTTCTTTTGCTGAAAGGTTTGGGTGAACCTGTTGCTGAACCTGTCCAAAAGAATTAGAAAAATTAGGGGTTTTTTTTTTCCCATTTAAAGCTGTACAGAAGGAAGAACTGGAAAAAAGCAGAGCACCTCTGTACTGTAGTGCTGCAAATTTGCACGCTTCCAGCAATTTCCCACAAGTTTTCCTATGTAGTTAAGATGGCAATTTCTACTCCTGCAAAGTTGGCGTCTCTATTCAATTAAAAAATAAGTGTTTAGCCTTTATGGTGGGGAAGAAATTTCAAGCCAAGGCAGATTTCTGCCAACGATGCAGCGAAAACAATCACTGTGTGTGATTCTGCAGTTATTCATCCACAGGATGAGTAACATACAGTTATGTTACTAACCTTACTAATGAGTACTGGGTGACTGTGAACAGAGGAGGAACATGGACCCACCAGAGGAAAAGACTTAATAAGCAAGGACACCAGGATAAGAGAACTAACCAGTCTGGCAGGGAACTGAATTAATGCGCTGTTAAAACCTGTGGCAATAAAAAGCCACAGCCGGGACACTGGAGAAGGACTGAACAACTCTTTGAGATGCCTCAGAACCAGAGAACGTGAAACACTGTCTGAGGCATGAGAGGGAGAGACGTGAAGCACTTACAACAGAGTGGGAAAAGCATGAGTCAAAATACAAGAGTGTCAAGACTAGGAAACGCGCTGTGAAAAAAGCTGACTTCCACCTCCCTCTAACGCAAGGCAGGATAATGCCTTTTATCTCACTTCACGGAGATTAATCATAGCTTTCGTTTCCAAGGCTAAGCTAGACCAGACAACCTGAAACAGGCAACCTCCGCACGTGCCCGCGCAAGCTGAAGGACCACAACTAGCTCGCCCTGGTCCAACGTGGATGTTTTCCTTCTCAAAATCCCCCAAAACGAAACAACCACCCCACCTTAAAAAAAAAAAAAAAAAAAAAGCACTCGAGTTAGTCTACATACTCAGTTTTCCCTGGCAGCCTCTCAATCAGGAAAGCGCTAACTAGATCTTAAACTATAGCCAAAAGATTCGTAAGTAATACAATCCAGGGAAATTCCCTGCTCTCCCCGTACAAATTAATCACCTCAAAAAAGTCATCTTGCATACTTAGATTGGTATTCTGTACGCGGTTTCAAACGCAAGACAAACGGATCAGTAGTTTCTTGGGGGAAGACAGTAAGATCTTTGGGTCAGTTCTAATCCTCTGAAATACAGGCGCGCCTCCCTCCAAAGACAACAGGTGAGTCCACAAACACTGGGGAGGGGTCTGAAGGCTTCCTGAAAATTAAGTAACTAAGAATTTCAAAGCAATACCTTGGGGGCACTCAATTTGCAGCCCTGAAGGCTTTTGTAAGTCATGCAACAAGACCAACGAGGAAGTAAGGTGTCTGGCTGGCTTCCTTCCCTGCCGGCCGCAGAGGACGGTGGGCAGAGCTGCCCAGGAGCCGGAGCCACTGCAAGGAACCGCTCGCTGCTCCACCTCCTGCTGTGCCATGGCCTGAAAGAACTGGGGGAACAGGACTGCGCTTTGCCCCCACACCTACGCAAGGGAAGAGAGGAAGAGCCGTGACGACCAACAGGTAGGAATAAAAAGCGAAGACCCACAGAGGGGACCACTAGAAGGGGCTGCTGCTGTGCACCTTCAACATCCTAGAAGCAGAGGTGACGACTTGGATGGAGAAGTCTACCAACACACTGCTCAAAGATGGGGGAGCACAGGCAGGGACCACACGTACTGACGATGGGAATCTGAATATTTCAGGGGAGTGGGAAGGGGGACACACACTGAAAATGTGAAAACATACGCTGGTGCTGATTGTGTTGGAGTTGATAATTAAGGTATTACACAGTGGTGGTGAAAAGAGACTGCCAATCATGGGGGCTCCTACGTGATACCCGGGGAGAGATGACCTCCCAGGCACAACACACATTTCTAGGGCTTAATTCTGCACTGGCATCCTTCCTCACAAAGCACAGGTGAAGAAACAGGTTAATAAGGCAGCTGTACACCAAGAGAGAAAGGAATACACATGCTGCTTCTAATCCAGCTGCTCAGTTTTGTTCTAGAGTTTTTGTATAGATCTTTATGTATCATTTAGTCTTCTGCACCTCAAACATGAATTCTTCTCAGCTTCACAGAACTGCTGCAATGCTGACGTGTATACAAGATTGTGTACTACTGAAAGAACGAAGGGAAAAAACCCCTCAAGAAAATCAAAACCACTCCTTGAAAACTCTTACTTAAACTGCAGGTTTTCAACAATAGTCAGTGCATTTCGTGTTCTTCCTGAACATAAGAGTTTAATTCACAAAACAATGGAAAACCAGGAAGTGTCGAGTTAAGGTCCCGCCACGTATCTCTCATACGAGCACTACTACAGCAGAAGCATTAGCTAGCTAACTAGGAAATAAGATGAAATATTTCCCCCCACAACGAACCCTTAACGATGCTCCAGAAAAATGACAAGAACAGGAGCTGTAAGAAGTTGAGAAAGGGAAGCTGTGCTCCCCTTAAGAGAAGATGGGGAAATCCTATTTACTGTATCAGATCGCAGCCATTCTCCTCCTCTCAAGAGGGTCACTCATTTTAAAAACAGACGTCACTGCCACAAAGAAAATGACTTCACTTGTGACTACCTTCAGTTCACAGGTCTGAACAGCTCATGCCATATGTTCCTCAGCTTTCTGAAGAGCACGTGGATATCTAACAGGGTTGAGGACTAGGAGAGGAGCACGCAGCCCTCTTCAAACCTTGGCAAGAGAATCTCAGCCTCATACAAGGAACGCAAACGTTAAGTGCTGGAGTCAGTTTTGCTTCAAAAGGAGCAAAACCAACAACAAAGCCCAACATTTCTTGGTTGAGTCAACTCTTCCCAGAGGATTTAGAAATCAGCTTCCATTTGAAATGATAATGCCTGCAGCATCACAGAAAGGTCCCAGAGGTACTCATACACTCCCTGGCTTTAAGACAAGTTATTTTGATGTAAGTGCTGTTACTGAGAAAAACCAATTTCATAGCAAGACACTGTTTTTCACAGCAAAACAAAAATACACTTATAAAAGCCATGCACCAGCTAATCAAATCAGATGCCAGTGAATCAAGGAGAGAGCACTTACTCTTTAGAGTATTCACCTAAACCCTGACTGAAAAGACTGGGAAAGCAAGGACAGACTGATAAAACACTGAGGAGGAATTAACTGAGGGCACGTTACTTACGGAAGGTACATTCACTGATTTCAGGTTCAGACTGAAATGTTTGAGCATAATTGTATTAGCTGGCATGGAATAACGCACCATAGCTAAGACAGGGCTAAATTTTGATCTGACTTGTAACTGCTTCCGTTAAGAGTCAAAATACTTAAACCCACATGTTGCACTACCCAGCAAGAGCTCTGCTGCAAGAACTCTGAGCAGAAGGTATCAGAGAAACCAGATTTTTTTTACCTATCTTATCTCTGAAACAACCCAAGCGGAGTGCTTGAAGTCATTAGAGAGGGAGATGAAGATTAGCAGGACTAACTATTTTTCACTGCATCATTCACACAGGATTATTCCTTCATGAGCTGTTCCAAGGAACAGAAATCAAATAACAGGTATGAGTCCCATAAGCGTGGCATTTGAACATGGCCTTAAGGCCTTTCTGGTGGACATGCTTTTATTTTAGACGGGAGTTCCTAAACTGCTCCTCCCCTTGCTCCTCTTCTTTACTTCTCCCTGCTCTTCCACCCCTCCAACAAGTGCGTATTTGATGAAAATCCAGCGGCGGCTTCGCAGGGGCATCTCCTTCCTACGGCTGCAGCCTTCAGGAGATTTGGCAGGGCTCTCCAAGAGCCCGACTGCATCTGTACAAGCAGTGGTGGCTCAAGAGGAGACTGAAAAACCCCTTACAGGTCAATTGAGATCCTCCCCCTAGTTCCTTCCGAGAGGCAGGTCCTGCACCAGGACACAAAAGCTTCTAGAGAAAACAGGCAGCTGCAGATGAGGTCAAGCTCAAAATTCCTTCTCAGTAGTGAGATTTTGGTAGTCCTTACAGAACCCTGGGAAGAAGTCTGTTAAGGCAAGATGAGGATGAAAACTTTTCAAGGAGATGAACAGTATTAGGACCAGAAACAAACTTATTTTTGATAAGCACATTTGATCATTTTGATTTCTGATCTTATTTTTTAGAACTAATATAAGAGCAAGGTTAATTTGGAACCACAGGAGATCTGGCATGAAGTCTGAATATCAATATCTGGACTTGGGGAAATTCAGAAGTCCTGAGTGTAAAAGCAATGATCAAAGGTTGTATCTGAAACAACAAAAAGATGGGGAAAAAATATACTAGAGTCAAAACTGCAAGTAACTTCTTTTTAGCCTGTTCTAATGAGACAAACCAGCAATTTGGCTACACTGCCTAAATATATTTTTACATAATACATGTATTTTGGTAGTAAAAACACATTCAGAAAGCTCCAGTTGTTCCACAGTAAGCAAAACAAGAGATCATTCATTAAAAAAAAACCAAACCCAAAACCAAACCAGAAAACCCCCAAACCCATGAAATGCACACTGAGTCTTTAAACAGCATATACCATCACAAACATTCATATTCCTGAAAAACTAGACAACAATATCCCACTTCTCTATTTGGGTTCAAAACAACTACATTTTCAGAAAACAGAATTCCAATATTACCTGAGATTTCAGAACAAGAAGTTTCTAATTTTAAAAATGCCACCACAAAATCTGTTAGCATGGTAATACATCGTTTCTAAGCTTACTGTGCTAACAGGAAAGCTTAATAAATTGCACGTTAAATTTGTAAACTGTTTGCAACAAAAACTACTCACTCTCCTTTTCCCACAGCAACCAATTTCAACTTGGAAATGATTTATATTTTACTCGCCTTGTAAAAACACAGTAATACTAGATCAGCAGACAAGTAAAACTTTGCAAGGCTGTTTGTTTACTTGAGAAACAAAGCATATAAATTTGGGAGCAAGAAAAATAATTAGAACATAGAAGTTAAATATTTAC